TCCCTCTCCCGCCCTTCCTGCCGTTCAATCCCTCTCCCGCCCTTCCTGCCGTTCAATCCCTCTCCTGTCCATTTCCTGTCCTGCTCGCGCGCATAAGAGTAGAGTAGAGTAGTCCGTCTATAAACCCGTCTCCTGTCTGCCCTTCCTGCGGATGTACATGCCCAGCACGCTGGTGCGTTTCCGTGAGGTGGTCATGCTGACATTCCTGCCCCTGCTGCTGGCCCGGTTATAATGTAAAGTTTCCTGTTCTGCCCAGTGATAATGTGAAGTTTACTGAGGTTATAATGTAAAGTGTACTGAGGTTATAATGTAAAGTGTACTGAGGTTATAATGTAAAGTTTAGGTTATAATGCTGTTTCCTGTCGGCCCTTCCTGCGGATGTACCTGCCCAGCACGCTGCTGCTGGCCCGGTTATAATGTAAAGTTTCCTGTTCTGCCCGGTGATAATGTGAAGTTTACTGAGGTTATAATGTAAAGTGTACTGAGGTTATAATGTAAAGTGTACTGAGGTTATAATGTGAAGTGTACTGAGGTTATAATGTAAAGTTTCCTGTTCTGCCCGGTGATAATGTAAAGTGTACTGAGGTTATAATGTAAAGTGTACTGAGGTTATAATGTGAAGTTTAGGTTATAATGCGGTCTCCTGTCGGCCCTTCCTGCGGATGTACCTGCCCAGCACGCTTGTGCGTTTCCGTGAGGTGGTCAGGCTGGCTTTCCTGCCCCTGCTGCTGACCCGGTTATAATGTAAAGTTTCCTGTTGTGCCCGGTGATAATGTGAAGTTAATTGAGGTTATAATGTAAAGTTTAGGTTATAATGCGGTCTCCTGTCGGCCCTTCCTGCGGATGTACCTGCCCAGCACGCTGGTGCGTTTCCGTGATGTGGTCAGGCTGACTTTCCTGCCCCTGCTGCTGGCCCGGTGATAATGTGAAGTGTACTGAGGTTATAATGTAAAGTGTACTGAGGTTATAATGTAAAGTTTAGGCTATAATGCGGTCTCCTGTCGGCCCTTCCTGCGGATGTACCTGCCCAGCACGCTTGTGCGTTTCCGTGAGGTGGTCAGGCTGACTTTCCTGCCCCTGCTGCTGGTCCGGTGATAATGTGAAGTGTACTGAGGTTATAATGTAAAGTGTACTGAGGTTATAATGTGAAGTTTAGGCTATAATGCGGTCTCCTGTCGGCCCTTCCTGCGGATGTACCTGCCCAGCACGCTTGTGCGTTTCCGTGAGGTGGTCAGGCTGGCTTTCCTGCCCCTGCTGCTGGCCCGGTGATAATGTGAAGTGTACTGAGGTTATAATGTAAAGTGTACTGAGGTTATAATGTAAAGTTTAGGCTATAATGCTGTTTCCTGTCGGCCCTTCCTGCGGATGTACCTGCCCAGCACGCTTGTGCGTTTCCGTGAGGTGGTCAGGCTAGCTTTCCTGCCCCTGCTGCTGGCCCGGTTATAATGTAAAGTGTACTGAGGTTATAATGTAAAGTGTACTGAGGTTATAATGTAAAGTGTACTGAGGTTATAATGTAAAGTTTAGGCTATAATGCTGTTTCCTGTCTGCCCTTCCTGCGGATGTACCTGCCCAGCACGCTGGTGCGTTTCCGTGAGGTGGTCAGGCTGGCTTTCCTGCCCCTGCTGCTGGCGCGGGACGGCAGGTTTTTGCGCACGTCCGAGCGGAACAGCCCGTAGATGATGGGGTTGACGCAGCTGTTGAAGTAGCCGACCCAGTGTGCGATCGGGTACACGTACTTAAACAGCGTCTCCTCCTGCTCCGCAGACAGAGAGCCGAAATCGTCCAGCATCCAGCTCACGTACAGCGGTAACCATGACAACGCGAATATCGCCACCACCGTCACCAGCATCTTGGTGACCCGAAGTCTCCGCTTGGGAACCTGACCTGTGACGCGTGACTGGTCAGACTCCTGACCTATGTCCCTGTCCTGGCCCATGACCCGGCGGTGGTTGGCGTGCTGGCGTGAGCCCGGGGGTTGCTGGGATACCGATCCATGACCTGGGGCGAGCTGCGGCTCTGAACTATGACCCGAGACTGGTCGAGGTCCTGACCTATGACCTGGGACCAAAAGGTGTTCTGGTCTATGACGCGAGGTTGACTGATATCCAGACCCATGACCTGGGAGTGACCGGGTTTCTGACCCATGACCTGGGACTGGTTGGCATCTTGACTCATGACCTGGGACTGGCCGGATTTCTGACCCATGACCTGGGATTGGCTGGGTTCCTGACCCATGACCTGGGACTCGCCAGGGTCCTGACCCATGACCTGGGACTCGCCAGGGTCCTGACCCATGACCTGGGATCCGCCAGGGTCCTGACCGATGACCTGGGATCCGCCAGGGTCCTGACCCATGACTTTGGATTGACCAGGGTCATGACTCATGACCTGGGACTGACCGGAGTCTTGACCCATGACCTGGGACTGATTGGTATTCGAGCCCAAGACCTGGGACTGATTGGAGTCCTGACCTATGACCTGTGACTGGTTAATATTCCGATCTATGACCCGAAGTTCACTGGTATCATGACCCCTGACCTGGGACTGATTAGGCTTTAAACCAATNAATGTAAAGTGTACTGAGGTTATAATGTAAAGTGTACTGAGGTTATAATGTGAAGTGTACTGAGGTTATAATGTAAAGTTTAGGCTATAATGCTGTTTCCTGTCGGCCCTTCCTGCGGATGTACCTGCCCAGCACGCTGGTGCGTTTCCGTGAGGTTGTCATGCTGGCTTTCCTGCCCCTGCTGCTGGCGCGGGACGGCAGGTTTTTGCGCACGTCCGAGCGGAACAGCCCGTAGATGATGGGGTTGACGCAGCTGTTGAAGTAGCCGACCCAGTGTGCGATCGGGTACACGTACTTAAACAGCGTCTCCTCCTGCTCCGCAGACAGAGAGCCGAAATCGTCCAGCATCCAGCTCACGTACAGCGGTAACCATGACAACGCGAATATCGCCACCACCGTCACCAGCATCTTGGTGACCCGAAGTCTCCGCTTGGGAACCTGACCTGTGACGCGTGACTGGTCAGACTCCTGACCTATGTCCCTGTCCTGGCCCATGACCCGGCGGTGGTTGGCGTGCTGGCGTGAGCCCGGGGGTTGCTGGGATACCGATCCATGACCTGGGGCGAGCTGCGGCTCTGAACTATGACCCGAGACTGGTCGAGGTCCTGACCTATGACCTGGGACCAAAGGTGTTCTGGTCTATGACGCGAGGTTGACTGATATCCAGACCCATGACCTGGGATTGGCTGGGTTTCTGTACCCATGACCTGGGACTGGTTGGGGTCTTGACTCATGACCTGGGACTGGCCGGATTTCTGACCCATGACCTGGGATTGGCTGGGTTTCTGACCCATGACCTGGGACTCGCCAGGGTCCTGACCCATGACCTGGGACTCGCCAGGGTCCTGACCCATGACCTGGGATCCGCCAGGGTCCTGACCGATGACCTGGGATCCGCCAGGGTCCTGACCCATGACTTTGGATTGACCAGGGTCATGACTCATGACCTGGGACTGACCGGAGTCTTGACCCATGACCTGGGACTGATTGGTATTCGAGCCCAAGACCTGGGACTGATTGGAGTCCTGACCTATGACCTGTGACTGGTTAATATTCCGATCTATGACCCGAAGTTCACTGGTATCATGACCCCTGACCTGGGACTGATTAGGCTTTAAACCAATGACCTGGGACTGATTTAGGTACCTGACCTATGACCTTGGGCTGGTTGATGTTCTGATCTATGAACCCAGGTTGACTGATATTGTGACCCATGACCTGGGACTGATTTGGATCCTGACCTATGACCCGGGACTGGTTGTTGACCTGACCCATGACCCTGGGTTTGTTAGTGTCCTGACCTATGACCCGGGGCCGGCTGGACGAGGTTGAGCTGAGCGGGAAGGCGGACCGGTACCAGATGCTGACGCCGATGCGGCAGTAGATGCAGGTGACAGCTGCGAGCGGCCCGCAGTACACCAGCACGAACAGGGCTAGCGTGTAGGCCTGCCGGTACTCCACAGTCGGCCAGTTCTCCCCGCAGTACGTGGCCGTCTCCCCGCCCCGGAACTGGAAGGAGTACTCCTCCATCCCCAACACGAACAGCTGCGGCAGCATGATCAGCACCGCCGCTCCCCAGATCGCCGCCAGGGCCTTCCGCACTGTGCTGCTGCCCATACACAGGTCTGCAGGGTACAGGACCACGTAGTACCTGCAGAAACACAGACATAACAACAGTTCCACGGCAAGCACAGGTCTGCTGGGTACAGGACCACGTAGTACCTGCAGAAACACAGACATAACAACAGTTCCACGGCAAGCACAGGTCTGCTGGGTACAGGACCACGTAGTACCTACAGAAACACAGACATAACAACAGTTCCACGGCATGCACAGGTCCGCGGGGTACAGGGACCACGTAGTACCTGCAGAAACACAGACATAACAACAGTTCCACGGCAAGCACAGGTCTGCTGGGTACAGCACCAAGTAGTACCTACAGAAAAATAGACATACACTAGAAAGGCAGACATTCGGGAGCAAATGCATCAGATGGCTTCACCACATCCCCATATCAAAATTGACCTATCCCCTTCCCGGACAAAAAGACTGTTCCTAAATCAACCCTGTCCAAAATATGTGTTCCAATAGTCTATAACCCCATGCAGCAATGGAATCTTCCAGCGCCTTCTGTTCTTGGAACAATTGTAGAACCCTGGTAGGTCTCAAGTGCTCCATCTAGAACTGTCAGCTGGGGATTTGGATTTTCAAGGTACAATCGCTGTTTTTACTCAAAATAATACCTTATATTATTATAGCAGTATAAAGTGTTATACGTACCGTTCTACTGCGATAGCGGACAGGGTGTAGACGGAGGCTGCTACAGACACCCCCTGAATCGTCCTGTTCAGTTTGCACATCACTTCTCCGAACTGGTAATCTACACAGGAGCAACAGAGAGGATTGCTTCAAGAGTTGCTCATCGTCAACACCCGATTTTCGAGTTTTCCACTCAATAGTTTGTACAACATGCCTTACATGGCCCTCCATGCACTGTTTTAATGCTGTTGATAAATCAAGCACGCAGACAAAATTAATTGGTCATTTCCCTGCAATACTATCGGGCAGTATAGTAGCACTTCTGTGTATTGTGATATGACGGGTTATCAGCACGATGTCAGCCCTTATAAAATGACCATAATTGGGAAATGCAGATTCAGCTGCCAGAAGACGAAGCGAGGAAGTCGTTGCTGAGTTTTGCGGATTCTCGCCACGTCTCTGCTTTAATCCCGCGGCACGTAAAGACAATATTTACGTGGGACTTTTAGGATTCGAAGTAAACGCATGCTTTCCGAAGAAAAGGCTGTAAACAGTGCTTAAAGAAGTTGTTTACTAAGCCTGAACGGACATAAAAGGTGCGTAAAGGCACCGCTAAAGTGGAAAAAAACCCGTATCTTTCCAGTACTACGGAAAGGCAATGTTTACGTACACGAATAGGGACCGGAGAGGTGTGTAAAGATGGAAATAACACATATCGTTTTTCGTGCCGTGCTTGTTTGTGAGTGTTGCGGATTCCCGGCACGTCTGTGCGCTAATCCCGCGGCGCTGCGGCGATTTTCTGGCCATTTTCCCGCGCGGCGAGGCGTGAGAAACAGACGCCCACCTTCAGATGCACTGCGAAGTGCGGAATTTAATAAACCACTTCTGCCTGATACAGGCAGCAGCTTCTGCTTTGATCCCATGTAGTTACTATATCATCGCTATATTAGGAACTCTGGAGGCGTTTGGGAAGCAAATCATTATCTGCACTTCGCTACTCAATAACTCATAGCCTCCTGTGCAGGCTCCGGGGGGGGGGGCATAACACATGTTCTTCCTTACCATTTATTGATCCATTTCCACTCATTTGCTGTTCTCTGTTGTTTTTGTCATGTATTTTGTCACTGTATACTTGTATGGTTGGTGGTGAGGTTAAAAAACTAAAGTTAGAGTACCTCACCACCATGTCCTGTATTATACATGTTGAATTGCAAATAAAATAAAATAAAATAAAAAAATAAAATAAAAAACAGCCGCCGAGAGAAGGTTCCATTCCGATGTCTCGGCGGATGTTTGTAGGATGACCGGCGTTTAAAACTCTTCAAAACCCTGTATCAAAACTCCCACCCGCCCCGGAGCCTGCACAGGAGGCTAGTAACTCAGTGGACTCGGAGCGACACCCGCAGCCGTTTGTGCCTTTAAAATTTTGCTGAAGGATGAAAGGTTTAAGAGTACACTGTGTGATTTCTTTGTAATTACTGAAGGCGACCAAATCACAAGGCCAGGGGGGGCATGTGCAGTATTTCTTCCCCTGGATTAAATCCAGCTCGCTCGCTCGCTGGGAGGAGGGAATGCCGAGACTTGTGTATGAGTGTAGTGAGCTTGAGTTCTTTAAGTGTAGTGAATTCTTGAAGTGTAGTGAGTTCCTTAAGGGTAGGGAGTTTAAGTGCAGTAAGTTCGTTACTGTGAGTTGGTATGCAAAATGGCTCCTTCTGGTAAGATTGTTACGTATGGTGTTTAAAATCCCAACAGGCACTTTTCAACAGGAATTTTCAAACTTTAGAAAATGCATTTATTTCAACATTTAGCCTAAAACATCATCTTAATTTCAACATTTAGCCTTAAGACATAATGGAGATAGAGAACGTGTTAAGAGAAGATACCGTATTCATTTTAACATCAAACCTAAAACATTGAGCATAAAACACTATGAAAAAAGGTTGATAAAGTTTAAGCGTTCATAATAGAATGTTTTATTGTAACAGAGACAAAGTAATAACGGCATCAAACCTGACCTAAACCTAAAGCCCAATTAACCCAACAAATTAGCATAAAATTATTAAAACAGCATTAAATCACGTAGCATGTTTTTAATGTCCGAAATGTCAGGGTTCGGGGACAAAAATAACCCAACTTTGCAGTTCTGTAACCATAAAAGCAATCCAGTTCGCAGAACAGTAAAAAACCAATAGTAATAATCTGCTCAGCATGCCCAGATGAAGGGACGACCTGACAGCTCTGAGCGGTCCGATATTAACAGGTAGTCGGACGGACAAACGCGGTTGTAATTGACAACATGGATCGAGCGAAAAGCCTGCCAAAAACCAAAACTTATTAGAGGAGCGCCAAGCGTCTAGGCAGTCTGTCAAAAGTTGTGCGTGAAACAAATACAGATACGGAGTAGCCCTGTCAGAACCTGGCACCAAAAAGTACAGATGCGGAGTAGCCCTGTCAGAACCTGGCACCAAATACAGATGCGGAGTAGCCCTGTCAGAACCTGACACCAAAAAGTACAGATGCGGAGTAGCCCTGTCAGAACCTGGCACCAAATACAGATGCGGAGTAGCCCTGTCAGAACCTGGCACCAAATACAAATGCGGAGTAGCCCTGTCAGAACCTGGCACCAAATGCAGATGCGGAGTAGCCCTGTCAGAACCTGGCACCAAATACAGATGCGGAGTAGCCCTGTCAGAACCTGACACCAAATACAGATGCGGAGTAGCCCTGTCAGAACCTGGCACCAAATACAGATGCGGAGTAGCCCTGTCAGAACCTGACACCAAATACAGATGCGGAGTAGCCCTGTCAGAACCTGGCACCAAATGCAGATGCGGAGTAGCCCTGTCAGAACCTGGCACCAAAAAGTACAGATGCGGAGTAGCCCTGTCAAAAGTTGTGCGTGAAACCAGATACAGATGAGAGTAACCCTGTCAGAAGTTATACCTGAAACTAGTGCAAATGTTCAATAAACCTGTCAAAAGTTGTGCGCGAAACCATTGCAAATACAGATGCAGAGTCACCATGTCAAAGTTTGTGCGCTAAACAACTACAAATGTAAAGTACCCGTATCTAATTAAATCCTGGCACGAGACGAATAAGGCGAAGATGTTATAATAGGTAGGTGTAAGATCGCTCCGGTTCACGCGTGATGATGGCTGCTCTCAGCCGGAGTGATTTCTGGCGCTTCGCTGAACAAATGTGACGCTACAGTCGGAGGGTGAAGAAACGCATCAGCTTCAAAGCCTGCACGCAGAGCCACTTACATGGCCGGGTTAAGCCGCATCAGCAGCCGGCTTAGCAAACGGTTCCCCTGCCGCTTCTGCCGCTTCCACAGCCCCCTGCCACTTCCACAGGTTGCCGCTATAATGGACTGTTCACAGCCCCCAGAGGACGGCGTCTGTTTGCCGAGAGAATGCCAAAACGGCACTTTTTCTTCACAAGCCTTGTTTAGGAGGCTACTTGTTTCATGTATGCACCGATTCTTCCCTACGATTCCACACACCATTGATAAAAACTCCAGAGAAATAAGGCTGCGAATGTGGCCGAAGCGGTTTGACGATGCTCAGTGCAGATTTAATTTGCTAGACTGTATTATTTTGCATATGTAAAACAGGGCAGGGGAACTGCACATGTTGTTGCGGCATCACAGTTTGTATAATGTATGTATAGAGGAGATGGCTTGTTGTACTAAAATCAAAGAATCCACATATCATGGAAGGAGTGGGTGAATTTGTCATCCACTGCCTCTAAAGAAGAATTCAAACCCAACAAAACTATATAGCTAGTACCACGTATGGTGTGGAATGTAGCATAACGTTGGACGAAATCCCTTATATAACTGTAGTCTTTTTTTTCATGCAACAACATGTCATGTTTGTAACTTTAGCATGAAAGTTCAGCTGTGTTTGTATACTTCATTGAACGTTTAGCCCTTTTGGTCACAATGTCAGGTTTGTACTTGCAATTAGCCATCTGGCATGCATCTGCAATAAACTCTGTTGTAAGTCCGTGGTATTTTTCCAGATCTTCCAAACCATTTGTGAATGAGGAAATATGTAAGACCGGACTGGCAATTACCGTCTGCCATGTATTTGCAACAAACTCTATTACGTTTGGGAAAAGCCTGTGGTATTTTCCCAGATCTCCTGAACCATTTGGGAATAAAGAAATATGGTAGACCGGACTTGCAATTGCCATCTGGCATGTACTTGCAACAAACTCTATCATAAGCCCCTGGTATTTTTCCATATCTCACGAACCATTTGTGAATGAGGAAATAAGTAAGACCGGACAGGCAATTGCCATCTGGCAAGCATTTGCATGCATTTGCAATAAACTCTTTAAGCCCGTGGTATTTTCCCAGATCTTCCAAACCATTCATGAATGAGGAAATGAGTAAAACTGGACTGGTTCCAGTAAGAACTGACTGGGAACCGCATCTGCTGAACTGTCAAGTTTGAACTGCTACAAAGGGAGCTTAAGATTCTACGGGCCCCAACTATGGAATAGCCTAGCCTGTCACTGAAACAACGTCAGACGTAGGGATTCGTAAAATTCAGTCAGGAATTGTGAAGGCATGAACAGTATAGAGAGTTGAAACTGTGTGTGTTCTTTTCTTGTATGTCATTGTGGAAGACTGTACAGTCTGCTGTTTTGTCTGTATGCCCAGCACTGCCTAAATAGGTTTTTTTTATTGAATCTGAGTGTAGTTTCTGGTGAAATAAATAATCTGAAACGAAGAAGCTGGCAGCCTCTTCAGGAAGAAGCGTGACAAGTGAGCTGTCGGAGGGAGTCAGGCAGACGCGGAGTCTGTTCGGGAGAGATGAGGAATGTCTGGGCTTGGCGAAGTGCTGATAAAACTTTAGGCGCGCCAATCAGCGCGGATTTGCAGACGGCTAACAACCCCGCGCTGCTGACAAGCGTGCAAACCGACTTACTGCGGAAGCCGGCAGAATAAAGGGCAGATGATGGAGAAAAGCAATGCTTTGAGCATGACGAGTTGTTAGGTATATATTAGCGCTATCACTCCGATCCTGCTGCCTTCAGACGAGATTACAGCAAAGCGACAGGAAAAGCTACTTAAACACAGATGAAAGATTGCGCGGATTTGGCATCCGCTGACAGCCCGATAGTTTGTCGCCTGTCACCGTCTCATTTAAGCCCCAACACAGAAACCGGGTCGTAAAGATGCTGCCATTCTGTCGTGTAAACCATGTAGTCATCCCACCTGCCTTGTCATTAGCAGTCCTGAACAGCGCAGGGTGTTAGACCCGCGGTTACGGAATGAAAGCCGCTGCTGCTGCTGAGTGGTAAATTATAGCACCGTGCAATTTAGCAGCCAGAGATTGCAACATTTGATTTTTTCTACGAAAAATCGTTACTTTGTAACAGCTTTCTGATCCCGTACATTACTTGTTCTACTAGTCCGAGTTAAAATGGTAAATACTGGAAACTTGTTGGACATTTTGGCTGTGCCCTACTAGTGCAGGTGTATGGGACTAGTGTGAGGGTACACGGGACTAGTGTGCAGGTACACGGGACTAGTGTGAGGGTACATGGAACTAGTGTGAGGGTACACGGGACTAGTGTGCAGGTACACGGGGCTAGTGTGAGGGTACACGGGACTAGTGTACATGGCACTAGTGTGAAGGTACATGGGACTAGTGTGAAGGTACATGGGACTAGTGTGAAGGTACACGGGACTAGTGTGAGGGTACACGGGACTAGTGTGAGGGTACACGGGACTAGTGTACATGGCACTAGTGTGAGGGTACATGGGACTAGTGTGAAGGTACATGGGACTAGTGTGAAGGTACACGGGACTAGTGTGAAGGTACACGGGACTAGTGTGAAGGTACACGGGACTAGTGTGAAGGTACATGGGACTAGTGTGAGGGTACATGGGACTAGTGTGAAGGTACATGGGACTAGTGTGAAGGTACACGGGACTAGTGTGAAGGTACATGGGACTAGTGTGAGGGTACATGGGACTAGTGTGAGGGTACATGGGACTAGTGTGAAGGTACATGGGACTAGTGTGAGGGTACATGGGACTAGTGTGAGGGTACATGGGACTAGTGTGAAGGTACATGGGACTAGTGTGAAGGTACATGGGACTAGTGTGAGGGTACATGGGACTAGTGTAAGGGTACATGGGACTAGTGTGAAGGTACACGGGACTAGTGTGCAGGTACACGGGACTAGTGTGAAGGTACACGGGACTAGTGTGAAGGTACACGGGACTAGTGTGCAGGTACACGGGACTAGTGTGAAGGTACACGGGACTAGTGTGAGGGTACATGGGACTAGTGTGAGGGTACATGGAACTAGTGTGAGGGTACATGGGACTAGCTAGTGTGAGGGTACATGGGACTAGTGTGCAGGTACACGGGACTAGTGTGCAGGTACATGGGACTAGTGTACATGGGGCTAGTGTGCAGGTACATGGGACTAGTGTGCAGGTTTACAGTAGTAGAAAGTGGTCCTACCGTACAGAATGTGTTCCACCAGAGTGAAGGGGATACAGAAGACGGCCACCAGCAGATCTGCCACGGCCAGGTTGAGGATGAAGTAGTTGGTGGCCGTGTGGAGGCGCGGCGTGGAGGCGATCACCCAGCACACCACGGCGTTCCCCACCACGTTCAGCGAGAAGACCAGACAGTACCCCACGATGTAGAGCCCGGTGACGACAGGACCGTGCACGTAGAACGGCATGGCGGGCGCCGGCGTCGTGTTGGTCAGGTTGGAGACGTCCATGGCTCTCTGGTCACCAAACGGCGCGGAGAAAGTCAAACCTCACCGTCTCAGTTAATATCGGAATATTTCACCAGGCTACAGGACCGTTTTTTACGCAATTTCAAGCAACGTCCATCCTTTATGACGGGCGGTGGTACCGAAGTGTGCCTGCAGCCAGATGCACGAGCTGCCGGGATAAACTCGACTCTCGCGGCCCGCGTTCTAACAGGTTGCGGCGCGGCTCCGTCCCAGCACAAGCTGCTGCTGCTGATGCAGTGATGTGAGCTGCTTCGGCTACTGCTGCGGTCTGAGATGTGAGCTGCTGCTGCTACTGTGCACTAGTCCGAGGTAAAATGCTGTTAACTTGTTGGACAGCGACAACTGTTGATAACTGATCCGACAATCGGTTGCTGCTACTGATGCGCGGCTCGCGTTCTAACAGGCGCGGCTCGGTCCCAGCACAAGCTGCTGCTACTGATGCTGGGATGTTAGCAGACCTGCTATTCTCCTGATGCTGACTGGGATATTAGCTGCTGAGGCTAGGCGAAGCTGGGTCTGGGATGTTTTACTGCGGCTGTTGCTGCTGCTGAGTCTGGGATGTTATCAGACCTGCGCTACTGGTACTGATGCTGATGCTGGGATTCTATCAGACCTGCGCACGGACACGTCACACCGCACGTCTCAGCTGTAGTCGGCTCGGCTGGTGACGTGCGCAGGCTCAGTACGGGCGGGAGGTGCGCAAAACATCAACATGGATATCGGCTTTCTTTCAAGCAGTATTTGGATTTGCAACAATATATTTCAAACATTAAACAAGTTCCTGATTTAAGGAATAACGTTTTAGTTCCCAAAATCACTGGCAAACATAGATGCACGTATTGTTGGGAACGCGTTTCGTGTTGTGCCCTGTCCTGTTCGTCGATCTCTGTGTATATTTGTCTTTTTACTGTGTTAATTCTACTTTTTGATAGTCTATTCATATATAGTATGTAATTATGAATTATGTATAATGTAATTGATTGAGGTGTATTGATATGACATTAGTGATTGAGTGATTGAGCCGAAAATCTTTGTAAGTATATGATGATAACACCAGGTTCATTTTGTATTCATTAGAAAATAAATCTTCTTGTTATTTCCATCATCCTTTTTACTCATAACAACAAACACCACACCGACGCCGGTAAAACCTTCCGCAGGCCAAAATCCGACCCAAACTCCGGAGCAGAAGACGGATCACCAATCAGAGTTGATACATCACCAACTTGTCTTGTTCGTATTTATGTCGGTTTTACCCACCTTGTAATTATGCATGTATCTTGTCAATGTGTTTTACACTCATTTTTAATGATTTTGAGTAGAAGGTGTTATATATAACCAACTTGTGCTTTTTGCCCAATAGTCAATAAATATATGTGAATAAATAAACAGAGCAGAAGATGGGTGGACGTCTCTATCCATTGCTCATCTCCCTGAGACTGGGACTAGTTGGGCTACTGAGACTTGCAGAGAGTCAGAAGCAAGTCAGATCTGATGTAGAGCGCGTCCTGGTTTTTGCGGGCTGCATGTGCACATATATATATATATATATGTGTGTGTGTGTGTGTGTGTGTGAGTGTGTGTGTGTGTGTGTGTTTGTGTGTGTGTGTGTGTGTGTGTGTGTGTGTGTGTGCAGGAGCGACTGTTTGAACGCCGGGTTTCTTCCATTATCGCATTATCGTCCGACAAAAACTACTGGCAGCGTCCTCTGCCGTGATTGGGTGTAGCCATTGCAACCGTATCTATCCACCCTGAGCTGACAGTTCTGCCACTTACGGGAATTAACATGTCCTTTCCGTGAACAGTCCCCACCTGTGCCCATCACAACGCCCACAAAACTGTAGATATAACCACCTTTGCCCATCAACACGCCCATAGAAAACTGTTGATATAACAACCACCTGTGGCCACCAAAACGCCCATAGAAAGCTGTAGATATAACAAACACCTGTGTCCATCTAAACGCCCCATAGAAAACTGTTGATATAAGAAATGTATTTGCAGTGAGACGAGTCCTGATGCGAGCCGACGTCGCCGATCCGTCCATTACTTCTCCGCCTCCGCAGAAGCGCTCCTTTCGCCCCGCCAATTATGTCCATCGCCTCTCCGTGACTTACAAATCAGCGCGGCTTGTGAGGCTGCCTGCTGTAAGGCGGCGGCGCGATGCAGTATAGTTCATCACCAGGAGATCAGGCTGAAAGGCTGCCTGTTGTAAGGCGGCGGCGTGTGATTTGGCAGCTGTGGCGCGGAGATAGCGCGCTCCCGTGATGTAAGGACTCGTCTCGCGGATTTATGTCCTGCAAACCCTCACATCGCCGCTCAGAACTCAGCCGCTTCTGTTTCCGCTGCGCCCATGCAGCAGTTCATCAGAAGCAGATCAGGGCTGGGAGGGACTTTCCGGTGGGACATGATACTGCATCACGCACCTTTCAAAGGGAGCTGCCGACACGCGGCGAACGGCGGATCCCCTCTAATCACTCATTTCACAGGGTCGAAACAGTTAACCTGCTTAATGCGATTTACGACCGCAAAGTGACTTTTACGTGAATGCATCAATACAGACTTGCCGAATGATACACGAAAAGTAGAATAACATTTGTTGTCTGTGGCCCTGCGAATCTGTATTCTGCCCAGTCAGTGCAGTTCCTCCCATGCTTACAGCAGACTCGAAGCTTGACCAAAACGACGCTCCGATTATTTCTACGTTAGTGTCAGAAACTTGAGCGCAAGCCGGAAGCTGTTTGATGGATCGCACAGGAGTCTATCTTGAGAAATGGGCAGCTTGAAAGGTTGTCAGCCAACCTGGCGGGTGGTTTTACTGTAAAACCGGCTGTTTGTGCGTCAACCTTGCCAGTGGTTTTACTGTAAAACCGGCTGTTTGTGCGCCAACCTTGCCAGTGGTTTTACTGTAAAACCGGCTGTTTGTGCGTCAACCTTGCGAGTGGTTTTACTGTAAAACCGGCTGTTTGTGCGTACACTCAGACCAAAAATCGTCTGACAAAAGACCTACGTAAAGCCGAAGCGGAGTACTACTCCACTGTCAGTGATAGGCTGAAATCTGCCGAAGGTGCCCGGTCATTCTGGTCCATACTTAAACAAGCAACGGGTAAAAGTAAGTCTAGCATCCCCGCACTGTCTGCGAATGGCACTGTGGTGGACAAGGATGTAGACAAGGCGGAACTGCTCAATAACATCTTCGTTAGCGTTACTCAGGAAGCCTCTCGTCCCAACTGCACAAGTTGGCTACCCAAGTTCACCACCAACGAACTCAGTACCATCCAACTTACAGAGCAGGAGGTTCTGGACGTGTTGCAAGGATTGCACCCCAACAAGGCTCCGGGCCCCGACGGCATTTCCAACCGGCTCCTTAAGGAGGGTGCACCTGCCATCTGCACGTCCCTTTGTCACCTGTTTAACCATTCCCTTGCCACTGGCCAATTTCCAACAGAATGGAAACAGTGCAACGTATCGCCAGTCTACAAGAAGGGTGATCGAACCAACCCTTCCAACTACAGGCCGATCGCCCTCCTTCCCACTGTAGCCAAAGTCTTGGAGAGACTTGTCCACAACCGTCTCTACTCGTACCTCACAGAAAACAACCTGTTAAATGTAAACCAGTCCGGTTGCTTATTATGCTCCATGAGGGTCAATATACATTGGGATAGTGTAGTTTTCAACTCAGTATCTAAAATATTGACTTTGAAAAATCGGGTTTCCAAGCCCTAAAAACTGCACTAGATGCCTTTAAGTGGCTGTCGGAGCAGTTCTAGGATCTTATCTGTGATATTACACCGGCCAAAAGGCCATATACACTCCGGCTTTCCTGGCGAGACGCTTGAAAAAGCAGCGGACGGAAACGGTCTGAGATCTCGCGTAGATTTTCCCTCTCAATGGAACTTCAAAGGTCGCAGACTCAGAGGAAATAAACAGCCGGAGCTGCGGAGACGCGGAGGAAATAAACAGCAAAACTGATTCGTTACAGCTTCGGAAAGGCAGATTTTATCAGCCGGAGAAACGTTAGCAGGGAGAATACAACGTGACATGAATAAAACTATACTGGTCCGTTTTATTCAACCAGAAGGGAAAAAATAGCCTGGGTACCATCCGGATTTTCGCTACGCAACGCTCGAAAAAATCATTTTCAAGCGTTGCGTAGCGAAAATCCGGATGGTACCCAGGCTAGGAAAAAAATGCCTGAAATAATAAATGAAAGAATTTTACTACTCACCCATGATTGTCCTAGTGCTTTTCACTACCGACCCATGATTGTCCTAGTGTTTTTCACTACCGAGTCTGTACCGACCCATGATTGTCCCAGCCAGCAGTGTTTTTAAAGCGAGGAGTTTCAATGTTTTTTTACCTTAAATGGCACCAATCAGAACGGACCAATCAGAACGGACCAATCAGAACGGACCAATGGATTAGTCTCCATCAAGCCAACAGCGTAGGTTCAAAAACCGCAAAGTTTAGCCAAATATGGGCATGGGGTTTATTTAAATTTCCCTCCCGCAGACTGACTCTACTGTGGTCATGTTGTATTGATAGATAGTTTGCATCAGATAATAGCTGCCGAGTCCCACATTGTATGGTCTTTATTGCAATCTCAATAAAGTCAAGACTCTCCTGGCCAATCATTATATAACGCAGGAGAAAACAATTTTACTACTAAAACCAAAGAACCCACATGTTATATACCAACTGGGTAGATTTGTCTCCTACTGCCTAGACAAAACTAGTATTACGTATGTTGTAGTACGTAGTATCACGTAGACTCCCATGTCATCGTACCTTCCTTTTCATACATGTTGCTTGTTTTTGCAATCAGCCCTCGGACATGTATTTGCAATAGACTTTCCTTCTATTATTTCCCTTTTTTTGCTGAATTCTACGATCTGTACCTGCTTAGTAAGCACTAGTCCTGGCGGAGTCTACAAATGACTTTGCCTCATCTTGCGTGAGCTTTTATCGTCTCTGTACGAAAGTCTATACATCAGGTAGGTTGAGTTGACTCTTGTACTATGTAACAGCGCCCCTCTCGGAAAGCTGCGGTACTGCACGTACCGGCTTTCCGGTTTCTGTCGCTAACGGACAGAAACGATATTACCTCCCAGCATCTGCTCGGAGATATTCTGCTCACTGGAAGGCATACGTGCAATACCTTAGCTATCCGGGAGGGAGCAGTGCCACAGTGCCTACAGGGCGATACATGTAATACTTACATTGCAGATTTACCGTACAAGGGTCGGTATGTGCTTGCATCATCATAATCATTTGAATATCTATGTATGTACAAAATACTAAGACAAAACGAATTGAACTTTTGGCCCGAGTTACATTTTCTGTGGTGTAGCCTCCTCTAAATCCCATTTCAACTGCTCTCCCTGTACTACTTCCTACGAGCGCAGTCGGTCCTTTCCGGCAGTTTGCCGAGACTTGCCGAAGCGTGGTTCGGGCGTGTTCGGCAAGTCTCGTGACTTGGCTTGTAATGGTGGAAGGTGGAGGGGACGGCACCCAAGCTGTAACCGTTGTTGACGTGAGTTCGGCCCTTCGCAGCCCCTTTTGGCCCGCCCGCTCCGATCTGTTCTCGCCCTAAGCGGTCCCCAAGGCTCCCGGGAAGATGTCGGCACCACGCAAGCTCAGCAACCCGCACGAGATCCCGACCCGCAGGATCCTGATCAGCGATCCCAGCGATCTGCCTCTGGATTACGGCACCACTCCGGGCGGCACCATCTTCTCCACCACGCCTGGAGGTAAGTGTTGTTTGTTTGTTTGTTTGTTTGTTTGTTTGTGTCGCCTGTAGTGTCAGACAGGGCGTAAGCAGGACGTGTAACGCGCAGAGAAAACCTGCCATATTTTGGTAGTTCCCATGACGTGGACGCCTGGCCATGTGACTTTGTTTTGATGACTGCGCCATGAGTTCGCGACCTCCAGCCGACTTTCACGCGACCTCCCCACGACTCTGACACCCGGACCCCGACAAAATCAGTCCCCGTGCTGCCGGAAATAACGCGTCCGGGCACGGAGGGACAGACCAGCTCTTTTCTGTGGCTGTAAAATAAATGATGTAATGTGTCGCCATGTTGGTGTGACGTAGCGGGTGGGAGGGGGGCATGTGGAGGGGAGGGGGGCAGGGAAAAAACTTGGGTACTTCACACCAGAACTACTCTGTTTGCAGGCTCAGAAACAGCGCTGCCTGGAAATGCGTTAGTTCTGGTCGCTCACAAGTCCCCTTTAGGCCCTCCCACATGATATAAAAAGTCCTACAGCTGAAAGCTTGTTTATTACTGACAGGATCATGTTGGAAATGTCGACATCCCAGCGATGGTGGGACATGTTCACTAGTTTGCTCTGCTCAGAGAACTGAGATCAGGCTCTGTTTGCGAGACGGCCTCTTGCTGATAGTGGCAAACTGACTCCAACAGATCTTATGTCAGTATGAAAGTACTTTTCACATGCCTGAAATTCTTCTACTCTCATCTGCAGAATAAACGTACCCCCCGGAATAAACATACCCCCAGAATAAACGTAACCCCTGGAATAAACATACCCCCCCCCCCCGAATAAATGTACTGGCGGACAAATCTTCAAAATCCAATAAACATACCCCAATTACCAAAATTGACGGGTAACCTGTGTCTCTTATACTAAAATGCACCCCATGCTGATATATGCGTAAATGTTTAACTGTTGTTTGCAATTAGGAATTTTAATGGACAACAAAGAGAGCATTTCTAGTATAAATGTAGTTTTCAGACAATTTTTTTGCAAGAACTCTCTGATGCCGCTAGAATGCCCTTTGTTTACCAAAACCAAGCACCATCTTGGAAAAAGCAATGCCGTGCATTAAAAAAACTCTAATGAAGTTACACACATTTCTGCATATAGTTACTTTTCTGAAAATGTTGTGAATAATTTTATAATACATGTGGTTAAATGTAGAATACACATCAACACTGCATACATGCTTCCCCCCGCATGAAAATAAGCTCTCCCTATGACCCGACATGACCGGAGCCATCTTGAGTCTGCTCCGCTGGCCATGATAATGATTTCATGATAATGTGGATATGTGTGATGTGTGATGATGTTTGATGTTGCAGGAACCCGTATTATCTACGACCGTGCCTTCCTGATGTGTGATGTTTAATGTATGATAATGATGTGTGTATAACTCCATCCTGCAGGTACCCGTATTATCTACGACCACGCCTTCCTGATGTGTGATGTTTAATGTATGATAATGATGTGTGTATAACTCCATCCTGCAGGTACCCGTATCATCTACGACCGCGCCTTCCTGATGTGTGACATGTGTCATGTGGGGATATGTGTAATGTGTGAATATGTGTGATGTTTGTTATGTAATGTGTGATGTGTGATGATAATGTTTGATGTTACAGGTACCCGTATTATCTACGACTGCGCCTTCCTGATGCAGATGCGAAATTCTCCCCACGTGTGATAATGATATGTGATGTGTGTGATAATAATGTGTGGATATCTAACTGCCCCCCTCCCCCCTTACAGGTACCCGTATTATCTACGACCGTGCATTCCTGACATGGGGATATGTTTAATGTGTGAATATGTGTGATGTTTGTTATGTAATGTGTGATGTGTGATGATAATGTTTGATGTTAATTCCCCCCCCCCCTTACAGGTACCCGTATCATCTACGACCGTGCCTTCCTGATGTGTGATGTTTATGTTGTGTACGTGTGAAGTGTGATGTGTGATGTGTGAACTGTGATGTGGGGATATGTGTGATGTTTAATGTATGATAATGATGTGTGTATAACTCCATCCTGCAGGAACCCGTATTATCTATGACCGCGCCTTCCTGATGCAGATGCGAAATTCTCCCCATGCCAAAACTCCGCCCCGCAACCTTCCCAAGATTCCCGGCGTGACCAGCCCAGCCGACGCCGAACAGACTGCGAAGCGAAACCAAGTAAACGGAGAAAACAACCATGACAAGCCTCACGGTGAGTAAACAACAACATAACAACGTAAACACAACATAAACATCATAAACAACAACATAAACAACCATGACAAGCCTCACAGTGAGTAAACAACGTAAATAACAACATAAACATAAACAACGACATAAACAACCATGACAAGCCTCACGGTGAGTAAAGAAAACATAACAACGTAAACACAACATAAACATCATAAACAACAACATAAACAACCATGACAAGCCTCACGGTGAGTAAACAACTATGTAAACATAAACATAAACAACAACATAAACATAAAATCAACATAAATAAACCATGACAATCCTCACGGTGAGTAAACAACGTAAATAACAACATAAACATCATAAACAACAACATTAACAACCATGACAAGCCTCACGGTGAGTAAACAACAACGTAAACAAATGCATGATGAGTAAACAACAATCTACACAGTGAGAAAACAACAACAAAGAAATGCACTGTCAGGAAACAACAACATAAGCCATGTCATATTACACACAATTTGAAAAATTAATGCAAAATTACTTGTATATACACTAATACAGTGGTAAAAGTTCTTAATCATGATTGTATGATTCGATTATAAGACATAAGAGTATATGATAATAAAGCAAATCAAAATAATTTTAGCTCAGTAGCAACAATAGCAAAGAAGTATTAATTTTGCGGCTAGAGAGAAAGTCACAGTTGAAATGCATTGCAGGGTTTAATTTTTGTTATTGCTGACATTTGTAAACCTGCAGTTTCACCAAAGTTGCTAGAGGGCGTTGTGCATGCTCCCATGATCCCAATATTTAAGATGGCCGCCAGTATGCTCTTTACCGCAGCTACTAATTAATGTATTTGGATGGATTTTTGCATTTAAAGGCACATTAAAACAACTGGAACTTCTCTATGAGCATTTGCTAGTGGAAAATGGGGCATCTTTACAGGAAAATCATGAAGCATGCACAGTGCTAGTGCTACCAGCCTACCAGGGTTTAGGGGCAAGACATGGCATTCCTGGGCACATCTGGACAAAGCAGCATGATGGCAGTTTTTTCTCTTGTTTTCAGTGCAAATTTTTGGACGGTTTTATGCAGTTTGGAACAAAATGGGGAATGTGACGTGATGCACAAACACTAGTTTTTTGGTTTAAAACCAAAACTAGACCAAGTTTTTGGTTTAAGTCTAAAACTAGACCCAGTTTTTGGTGTAAGACTAAAACTAGACCCAGTTTTTGTTGTGTTCTTGAACCGAAATGTCTGTTTGATTTGATCCACCGGAGGATGCAGGTTAACAGAAACTGCCTTTAGTTGGCACCAAAAGATGCATGAATTTTTATCTTACTTAAAGTAAAAACTTTTGGTCCAACACAAACAATCCAGTGTTGACGTCACGCTTCAAAGAAGCCATGTGACAAGCTTCACTGGGTCAGTCTACTGAGGAAGACCAGAGTGACTGGTCGAAAGCTCTAGGTGAGAGAACTTTTGTGCTGGACCAAAAGTTTAACTTTAAACATGTAACTACCAACACAGATGAACTTTCCTGATGTCGACTTGTTTTTCTTTCCTTCAGATACGGACGAACCCCAGTTTGAGATGGACATCTGAAGTCCCAGCAGGCCGTGCAACGTGACAAGTGAAAGTGACTCGACCTTGTGAGAAAAGCGAAAGTGACTCCACCTTTGACCTTCAGCCTTTTGGGAATCAGAATTGAGATGACCTTTGACCTTAGCTGGCAGTAAACCGTGCATCACTTTAACCAGGTGCAATATAAGGGACCGACCAGGAATGATCGGGGGGAGGGTTGGCGGATTAGGGGACCGACCAGGAATGATTGGGAGGGGAGGGTTGGTGGAGTAAGGGACTGGTCAGAAATGGTCGGGAAGGGAGGGTTAGTGTTAGAAAGGGACCGGCCAGGAATGGTTGGAAGGGGAGGGTTAGTGTTAACAAGGGACCATCCAGGAATGGTTGGGAGGGAGGGTTGGTGGCAGATTCTCAGTGCAAATAACATTTTTTTCAAATCAATGGTGCAAATTTTGTTTGATTTTGTTCTTGGTCCTTGAGGGCACATTTCCCCCATCATTTCCTCTTATTTTTCCTGGCCGGCCCCACGTCAGTAAAAACCTCACCAGTAAAAACCTGCCCGGCCCCTCACCAGTAAAATCCTGCCCGGCCCCTCACCAGTAAAAATATCTTTGTCAGTTATCCTTTGAGCCTAGCCTCCTCTGGTCTGGCTCAGTGGTGAAAAGGAACGTCAGTTTGGAACTGGGCGCAGGCCTTAATTTGCCCCATCTTTATTTGAAAAAAACTTATAGGTTAGACATAAGAAGTTGAACTTTGTACAACAAATGGTCGTGTAATCAACGGCTGAACATTAACTGAAAAGAAGCCTGTTCTTCATCCTCAACATCTTCAAGTGTCTACATGTGTTTTTTCTTCACACATGCAGTCTGCAAGTTTTGTGAAAAACACACATGTATTCTAGAGAAGTACTCATAGCTTGTGTTTAACAAGAAATCTGCCTGCCAAATCTAAAGTTCTTATGGAGACACAAACTTTCCAATGGATTCCAGGAAAAAGAGCCAAATATGGGTAATTTTCCTGGAGATATGTGCCCAAATAAGGCTCATGACTTCTGTGGGTGATTTTAACAGGAGGTCTCCATTCTAAGCTTTTGTTTGTCGAGATATGGTTTATTTTTTCTGTTTGGTCAGAGACAGCCACGCCTGCCTGCAGTGAGGCCATCTTGATTTGGTTATATGGATGACATCAGCGCACGCAGGAATTTTCGGCCGTTTCCAAACAAAAGTTTTCATCCATACTGTAAATCATACAAAACAAAATGATCACATATATACCATAGGTTGAAAAAAATAAACATTGGAAAACTATACCAATGTCGTAGAATGCCAAAATCAAACAAAAAAAATGTAAAAAAATGAATTTAAAGAGTAGATTATTCGCAAACCATAAATGAATCATTTGTTCAACCATCATAACCAAGTAGATTTCATAATGAAAGCAACTTTTTTTCTTATTTGCACGCTCGTATCAGTTTTGGGATTGCCAGAGGATGTCATCCATACAATCGAATCAACAGTTCAACAATAGAAAAACACCACTATTTTACTTGAGTAATATTGAGAGAGAAGCCACCAGGGTTGAGTATTAGGACGAACTGTGGCGACCAGCAACAGCTGAAACTTCCACAATCATGTTTATTTATGAGCCACATTTCTGCTGAGGCCTGAAAATTTTCCTAGATTCAATCATGCTGCTGACAAGAAATGCAGGGTCCGTGTTTCCTCCATGGAAAACCCCCTCAGACTCTACTGTTTGATTTAAGCATTAAATCCTTACCCTTTTCCGTGTGACAAATTTGCTACAAACCGAGCCGCAGAAACGGCGTCTTTTCAGTTCTGGGGTGTGAGGAAAGAACATGTTGCATTGGAACCAGCTGAAAACCAGGTACAAAACAAGGTGGGAGCAGCTGAACAGGTGTGCACTTTGTCTCACCTGCTTCCACTCAGGGCAGATGTGCCTGTTAAGATCAGGACTAACTTTCTTGTTGACGAAGTTAAATAAACCTGTTGGCCATACACAATGATTTGTCTGGTCTTGTTTGCTTGAATGTAGGTTGAAAAAGGTTTGGTATAGCCGGCATTTGTAAAGCCGGTATAACCGCCTTTCGGCGTAACACACCAGCTTCTGTATCTGTATAGCCGGTATAACCTCCCTTCGGCATAACACACCAGCTTCTGTATCTGTATAGCTGGTATAATCGCCCTTCGGCGTAACACACCAGCTTCTGTATCTGTATAGCCGGTATAACCGCCCTTCGGCGTAACACACCAGCTTCTGTATCTGTATAGCCGATATAACCGCCCTTCGGTGTAACACACCAGCTTCTATATCTGTATAGCCGGTATAACCGCCCTTCGGCGTAACACACGAGCTTCGCAGGCATGCGGCGCGGCGGCAGCTGGCTACATTACACCAATCGACTTGCACCTACAAACAAAATGTAGCCCTTGGACATCTAACTCAGGACGTTTAAAGCTTTCTAATTACAATGCCCCTACTGTACTTGGTGACAGCGAGTTCCACTCTTTGATAGTTCTATGAAAGGATGAATTCTTGAACACCTCAATCCTTGGTTGATAACTCTGGTACTTCAAGGCATTGCTAGATTTTTGTCCGAAACATTCGCTGAGAAAACCAGTTCAAGTTGTGTTAAACGACTTTTCCTGTGAATGCCCAAGGAGCGACGTTGACTGTAAGCTTAAGTGAACCTGATGTAAACGTGTACAATGTCGGTTTAAAGCCTGAGCCTTGAACATTGCAAGATGCTTCTTGCTGGTTTTCTCCACTCACTGTTCATGTTACACGGATTTGAGGTAAGCGACTTGCAGTGTTGAAGCTTTGGTGATTTTTCCCAGCTTCAGTAAAGGAACATTGAAGAAGGAAAGGCTCAGCCTGACCTCAGGTCGGCAAGTTGTTTCAATCTGCGATTTGTTTATTTGAATTTACCACAAGTGTGGAAGGGAGGACAAAACAGGTGCATTGACACCTTTACAAGTTGCCCTCCCAAACACTACAATATAGAATACAGATTGCAATATTAAATACAAAACAGATTACAATATTGAACATTAATAACATGAAATACAAATACCTACAATATCATACATTAAACATGAAATACTGTACAATGTCATGAAATATCACAATATATACAAAAAATGGCAATGATTAAAAATAAAGTAATAATACTAATGAGGTCGTAAAGCCGTACAGGAGGCGCACCCACACGACATGGACCATGAGCATGGAAGGTCAGAGTTGTAGTGAGCATTAAATCTACTGAATGTTACTCTTGCAACTTGCAAGAGATCGCAAGATGCCAAGATACTAGACAATTGAGTGCACCAGTGCTACGGAGATTCACAGGTACCACAGGTAAGACACGACAGGTGAGATGGACGACAGGTGAGATAGAGGACAGGTAAGACGAGGCAGGTGAGATAGACGGCAGGTGAGATGGAGGACAGGTGAGACGCGGCAGGTGAGAATGACGGCAGGTGAGATAAATGTAGGCTGCAGGTGAGCCTGTAACCCAACCGCACCCCTCCGTGAAAGGCCTGAATGGCCGCTTATATTGCTACCTAAAATCAGCCCAGCACAATAGTGTCGCGTTACTGAGTCCACAGCGCGGCCCGTGGCTGCCTGGTTACAGCTGACCTGAGGTGCTGATACTGTAAACTGTGCCCGCAGCGCCCACCCAGCTATTCCTAACGGGAGCTCACACAGGGCCTACAGCAGATGTTGACGGTAAACTTGGCGTCCTTACCCTAGCGGGCCCAGAGGCCGCCTGGCCAGCCCGATGTTTGTTGCCTTCAGTCCGGAGCCGAGCCGCGCGGTGGACGACATGACTCTGTACGGGCAGAGACGGAGAGCGCTGCCGCGGAACTTCTCCCCCGTCCCGCTGCTCAACCCGAACCCGCCCGGCTGGGTTCACCCCAAACCCTTCCCGGCCCGCAGTCTGGACCTGGGGCCGCACCAGGGGTTCCG